TGCCCCCCCCCCCCAATAAGGACAAAAGAAAAAGAATAGTACAAAGAAGAACAAACAGAGAACAGGAAAGAGCTCGTGGAAAACAAGGCCACGGCAGCCAACTGTAGGACAAGACACCGCGCAAAGAGAACCACACAACGGGAGAGTCTGTCCTTGTGGCCCTGAGAACTCCAGGATCAGGACAGAGAAGATGGTGCACCTCTTTCATGATTTCTAAAATATAACTAAATTATTGCATAGAGCAACATTTATGTCCTCTCTTTAAAAATTATTGGTATGGAGTAACCTTGTCAAAGAGCCAATAATGTTTTTGAGGTCACTATGACGTTCTGAGAATTTCTAATTACAGCTTCTCCCCTGCCTTAATAATCTAGATAATTGTTCCAGAACATTTTATTTTAGCTGAAACATTTTTTAATTTGTCATCATTTCTCAATTTTTAATAGTTTCTTGAACATTTTCTGCATCAGATTACTGTTAAGGTATAAGTATATTATACACTGGTAAATAACTTATATATACTTTCTCAATTTTCTTATACAAGTCTCTTGATACACACTGTTTAAGCAATAGAATGATTTCTTTTGAACCTATTAAGCACATATGAGTAACTATGTTACTTTTGGGTAGATTTGTGGTATATATATTTAAGTTTCCTGTTTCTGTAGCTGGTTTGGATTATTTAAACGTACAATCTGTTGCCTCTCAGCTTTAGTTATCACCCACAAATTTTGTTTGATTCCAAACATTTTGTTCAAAAACCTCTAATAAATGGTCACATTGTACTCTATTTATTTGCATATGTGTTGCCTAGAAACTCCTCTGAGATGGAGACATTGTTTTATTCCATAGTCTCAGTTCCTAGGATTGTATCTTAGCCCCAAAAGGCACTCAACACATTTATTTGCATGCATTGCACTGACGAATAAAAGTCATCTCCTAGACACTCTGGACTCACGGACTGTACCGAACCAGAGAGTTAACAAATGAGTCGAGTCAATACAACCTCTTGCGGTTATAGGTATAAAAATAGCTCTAGGGATTTGTCAGATTTTATTTAGATCCAACTGAGTAATGAATGAGAAGGAAAAACTGATGTCTAAAGTAGAGATCCTATGATAGATGAAGTGACTCTTAATCATTGGGTGAAGTGCAATTATCAGAGAATTTGTGGTTACATATCTGAGATTCTAGCATTCAAGCTGTTTAGATATTTAAAGTTATATTAAATGGAATTAGGAGCAAAAAGTAGAGTACCTACCTTCTTTTCTTATGTTGCACATTATTCATAGTTGAGCTTCCCTCTTGTAGAATTATGGAAATGTCAAACAGAATTTCGTCACACATGCTATGGTTTCATGTTCTTTGGAAAGTTTATCAAAATTATCCTTTTTAATGAAGAATTAGAAACCAGGCTCCTATTTATTAATTCTTTGCTTTATTCACTGTATTTCTAAATTTTAAAATAGGCCAATACAACTCACCTATGACAGGAAAATATCTTTTTTATCTTCGGGGTTTTAGATCCAACCAAAAAAGAGAACCACCCCACCCCCAAACACACACAAACAAACGACAACAAAAGACATTACCTTGAGCTATGTAAGGTGTGGTTTCTGCTTTCGGAGGGATATTTGTGGGTCGAGGCGTGGGGGCAGGAGGTCTGTTTATAATGAAAGACCGGCCTCCAAGTTTTTTCTTTGTACTCCTATTGGCCAGTATCATGTCATATTCACTGTCATCGATCTCAGCAAAGGTGTACGGGTCTTCCTCCTCCAGCTCCTTTGCAGCTTCTGTCTTTTCTTCCTCTCCTTCGGGTTCACCTCCTGTTTCCTGTTTTGCACTGGAATTGCACCAACTCTGACTTCTTTCCATTTGGCCTTCCAACATTTTCCCTGCTTACGAAATATTTAGATGGCTGTTACTCTTTGGTTATATGGAATATTTTCAATGTTCGTCTATGACTTGCTTGATCTTCCCCCCTAATAAATTTATATATTATACCATAAATTCCAAAAAGAGAAAAGTGAGCCATGGAATTTACTAACATATCCTCCTGCAGTTTGTAATGGTTAATTTTGTTTAGAAAAAAATGTTTAAAACCTGGATTTCTTTTAAAACAGAAGCATATAAATAGTTTCTGCATAGTTTATGAATGATTTAATATCAGGAAATCAAGTTATAACATTAAACCTCAAATTCCAAATGCTTTGAAAACTTGTATGTTTCAAATATAATACTCTTATACTTTCAAGTATAATATTTTTCATTTGAAGTCATTTTACCTTCCATAGGGTGTGCACTAGGTATTCTGACTAAAATTTAATTTCTCTGAAAATGACAAGGTTGAATAGCTAAAAGCTCTGTCATTTGGTTTCTTAAAGTAAGTCTCACTCTGATGATGACAAACTGACCTTCAAACTCTTGATTTCTACAAGCCAACATGACCCTTATTCTTAGGTAAAGAACACTGAAAATAGGGTTTATGACCTAAAAGATGGCATGGCTAATCAACGCCTTGAACATTAATTCATATTAAAATAATGAATACTCTTTGATGGTTTTCATACTTAGTAAAATCTTTACATATTTTTATAAAAATGTATTAAAATATTTTAGTGGCAGTTATTTAGAAAACAAAGATATCATACTTTGGTTAATGAACCAGTTGAAAATAATTTTAATGGCTCTCTGCCAGGCCCAGTCAATGAGAATTTAAAAAAATTTTACCCTTGAAAAATGTTTTGCTTAAAGTATTGCTGAAAATAATAAAATGGAAAAGATTTCAGTTACTGACCAAAAAAAATCATTGCTTTTCTGTATTGTCTGGAAGATTCAAGCATGTAAACCGGAGGAAGATTATTATTCTTTCTCTTGGGTGAAACTTTGACCAAAAAAATATTTAGTTTATTTATGACTATTTTAGTGGAAAAACTTAGGAGCTAAAGAGAAAGATGAGTTGTAGAGAAGAATAATAAAATATTATTCTGAAAAGATTTGGGAGGACTAGGCATATGAGGGGAGACTAAAATCATCTTCCAACAGTCCTTGATATGATTGTTTCAGTGAGTTTAACCCAAGTATACAGACCTACACTCCTATAACTAACTTTAAAATCACCATGACTTGCTTTTTCCCCTAAGAATAATTCAATATTGAGATTCTGACTTCGTGACTTCTGTTTCACTGACAGCATCACAGGTGAAACCAGATTTAGTGTGTGGGAAACACTTTTACAGTGTTTTATTTTTAGTGTAATGTGTCAACTATCTTACTTTTATGAACTGATTTCCTGAACTGTTATCTTTGTTTCTCCACCCACTTCCCTTCCCAACTCTTTCTAAAGTTGGGCTTGCACTAGAAGTAATACATTTTACATTTTATTTCTCAGTGTATCAGATGGCACTTTTCATGTCAGAGTGGGACCTGTACTTTCTCAACACAGGTTGTACATTAGCAAATAAAGATTAAAATAAATCACTTCTATAATTTCAATTTTTGAAATAATTGGAGCAAGAGTGTATAACACATAAAAGAATCCATAAAGTCCCAAGAGACTTGTTTAGAGAAGTAGTTGACACATTCTAATTACAGGCTCTAAGGTCTTAGGTCTGAGTCAAAGAGGGATCCTAAGTGATGGCTGCCTTGTAAGTTTGTTGTAAAGTTAAAAAGAGATAATGAGCTATTTGCAAACTGAAAGGTGGTCTGTAGTGTTCTATGTTATTGTTTTCTACAGTGGACATGTCCATAAATCCATGATGGGGAATTTGATTCTTAGGGCATTGATGACAATCACTTGAGGACATATGGAAGCTACTCTTAAAGCACAATTCCTTTAAGTTATCACTAACTAAAGTCAAAGAACCCATGCAAAGTCTCTGGCCAAAAAAAAAAAAAAAAGGTGGAAGTTTTACTTTCAAAAACAGTAATCAAAGTATTTTAAGAAAAAATATTAGCATTTTATTTTCCATTTACTGCCAATATCAGCCCTACGAAAAGATGAGACTAAAAGTAACACTACAGCCTGGCTGGTGTTGCTCAGTGGTTGAGTGTTGACCTATGAACCAGAAGGTCACCCTGAGATTCTCAGGGCACATGCCCGGGTTGCAGGCTCATCCCCAGTAGGGGGTGTGCAGGAGGCAGCCGATCAATGACTCTCTCATCACTGATGTTTCTATCTCTCTCTCCCTCTCCCTTCCTCTCTCTGAAATCAGTAAAAACATATTTAATAAAAAGTAACACTACATATGAAATGTAAAAACAGATTTTAAGTAAAAGGAGTGAGTTTTTATTTTGCTTTTTATATTTGGTACTTTTCAGAAAATATATTAACCAAAATTACACTTCTAGTGTTAGATTTTTGGTGAATACTCTGTGTAGAGCAATTTTAGACCTCCTATTCAACACATCATATATAGAAATGTCCATTAGGAAAAAATATAATTTAACATTAGCTCCTTTAAGAGCATTAACCTGATACGAGACAACTTTGCCTCTTAACAATTAATTTTAATACTTTTATGAAATTATTCCCATCTGTTAAAATGACAAAAATATACCAGAATTTTGATGTGAGTGTATTACTAATCTATGTCCCTCTCTCCACTCCCAAGATTGCTATACCTGCATCATTGATTTATCTTAATGGTCTATATGAGCTGGGCACATAGTAGGTAATCAATACATGCCTGTTGAATGAGTGAATGGATCAGAGGAATGCCCATGAGGTTTTTCTACTTTCCATTAAGCAGTAGTTTCCAGCTCTAAATACAGACAAAAACCTTAGTACAAGGTAAGCTGATCAACTTGAACTTTCATAGAAACAGGGTCTTCAAGGACACAAATGTTAAGTTTCATGGCTTTAAAATTTACTTTTTAAAATATTGTTTATATACTTTATAACTTTCTATGACTTGACAACTAAAGTATTGTGACAAATGGGATTTTAATAATAGAGGTTTCTTTCATCTTCCTTATTAAATTTTCTTTGTAAAAATATTTCAGAATTTGGAAAGTAAATATAAAATATGAATCAAGAAAGTGGGTGAAAAGGAGTGATTATAAGTGAACGTGGAGCTGGGAGTTTGTCAGCCTGTTGCACACTCCAGGCTAATGCGGCCGCTATGGAAGCTCTTCTTGATGCCCCCGCCCCTTCTCCCCCTTTGAACGCCTTCATCCTGCACCTGGGAGCAAACAGTCACTGTCACGTACCTGTTCCCCCACTTAAGCATATACACAGAGCGCTCTTCGGCTCCCATCTCAATGCAGTGAATGACAAATCCTCTGACACTTGCTCCCCTTGGAGCTACCAACTGACCGAAACGCCCAAGGTCATTTTTAAATCTGTGCTCCATCAGCCTTTCCCTTTTGCTGGAAGACTAAGACTATTTTTCAGAAGCAAAGTTGTCGTTTACTTTTCCATATTACTTGAGGTTTATTTCATGGGAAGAATTTACAGACTACTTCCTTGTTTTATTTTTTTACTTACTTAAAGCTTTGCAATGAGATGTTCCAGGAGGAAAGAAGGAAGGGAGGAAGGGTGGAAGGAAGGGCGGAAGGAAGGGCGGAAGGAAGGAAGGGCGGGTGGAAGGAAGGAAGGGTGGAAGGGAGGAAGGAAGGAAGGAAGGGTGGAAGGAAGGGTGGAAGGAAGGGTGGAAGGAAGGGTGGAAGGAAGGGTGGAAGGGTGGAAGGAAGGAAGGAAGGAAGGAAGGAAGGAGGAAGGAGGAAGGAAGGAGGGAGGGAGGAGGGAAGGAGGAAGGAAGGAAGGAAGAAGGAAGGAAGGAGGAAGGAGGAAGGAAGGAGGGAGGGAGGAGGGAAGGAGGAAGGAAGGAAGGAGGAAGGAAGGAAGGAGGAAGAAGGAAGGAAGGAGGGAGGAAGAAAGGAAGGAGGAAGGAAGGAAGAAGGAAGGAAGGAAGGGTAGAAGGAAGGGTGGAAGGAAGGGTGGAAGGAAGG